GGTAGTCTGAACATGTGTGGCCTAAATAAGCTAAACCCCCCTCCCTTACCTTATTTAGGCCATATGTGGCCTAAATAAGCACTCCCAAAAAATTTCCGCCAAAATTGGGTAAAACACATAATTATACTTCTTAAAAGTATTCGGCTACAGGAGCGTGATCGGCCTGTTCTGGTTTCTGGGCAAGGATGGTAAAACCATGACAGTCACTGCAGATGGACATTTCACCCGTGCTGAGAAAGTTTGGGGGGAGGTGTTATGTTATAGAGGTGTGGTTATAGTAGGATGGGGCCACACCCCACATGTCAAGAGTGGCCCTTGTGTGGTTGGAAGAAAGGTTTAGGGAACGCCTTATATAAGCCAAAAGTTTCTAAACGAATGGTCACCATATTCCCCCTAACTTGAACTCCTTCAATTATTATCTTCACGGTTTTTTGACGGACAGAATCTACAAAAACAACCCTCGAGCGATCAACAGTTGACACTCCATGCTGAACACGCACGACGTCCATGGAATCCACCCAGAATCATGCCATAGGGTTATTCCAAATTTCCAGTGGCATATTGTGGAGCTTGCAGGGAAAGAAATGGTTGACACCTAGAGATTTCAATAGCCATCATGTGCACCTCTCTGAGTTTTGTTGGTAATTTCAATTTTGTATTCATTTGTTCTTAACCACACAAATTTGAAATGGAACTATTGAATTGATTTTTGAAGGAGTTCCATAGTTTTTCCTTTCACTCAGTTTTGGTTAAACATTTTAAAAACTTAATATGTTTCGAACACATCAGTTATTTTTTTTCATATTGACGCCTGTAACGTACCCGTGGTTGAATTTTTTTTTGCTTTTAAGTTTTGTTGAAACTGGTCAAAAGTTGACTAAGTTAAACAGCCCTTTAAAAGGGCCCTCTGTTTTTTAGACACATGTATTGTTATTGTCCCTCTATTGCAATAGTGATGCTAGATCAAAATGTGTTAAATATATTGAAATAGATTTATGCAGTAAACAAACCTGATGATGGTTACCTAATGTTTATCTTTATGACATTATTTTTATTGTTTCATTACAGTGGGGAGATATTTGCTCACAAGACAAACATGTGTGCCTCAGTGACAGAGACCTGGTCTATCTCCTGGACACGACGAGAGAGCAAAGGTCAACCAGAAACTGGAGGAGGGTGAAACCACAGACTTTAGCGAGACATAGAGGGAAAAGAAGACAAACTACCGTGGAGTCTAGTGAAACCAAACACGGTTCATCCGATGATCATATGGCAGTAAACCAACATAAAATAATGTCTCTATTTTTTCTTCAGTTGAAGCAACCTCTGTAAACCAGATACCAGGCTGAACCAAAGACAATATGGCAGTCTCGCAGGTTTCAATTTAGACGGATTCCACTGTGTACTTTTTTGTGATGAATGAAATGCTAGTTATAATTATAGGGTTTATGATATTCACTCAAATTTGTTATACATATGCAGAAAAATAAATTGCCCTTCATTTTCCAGAGTCAAGATCCTGTTTCCAAACGTAATAATATTCACACAAGTGGGAGGCGTAGAAGAAGGAAGTGACCAATATTTTCTATATAATGAATCCAATGTGTAATAAGTCGATTAGACAATGATGTTCCTGTGACCTCAAAGTTATCAATATTGTCTTACACACTGAAGTCTCATCACTACGAATGACAAAGTACAGAGAGCTATTTTTGAAGTTGTTATGCTGATGGCGAGGGACGTTCTAAACAGTCTACCTATAAGATGTTATTTGAAATAGAATCATGCCTTTTAGGGCTAATCATTGAGAAAGTTGACTCCAGACGGATGTCTCTAGAAAATGGATACTGTAAAATTAGGAGCATACTTTTGATTATTTCTGATGTGAGGAAATTGCATTCTCTGTCCCCAGCTGTTTCCATCTGTACTTTCTACCTGTGCTGAAAGTGGCTTGAAAGAGCACCAAAACTGGTCCCTCACACCAGTGGAGCAACTGGCTGTTGCTATGGAGAGAAGCTTTCTACGTAAAACATCATCTTTTTCCGAGTTGAACATTCCAAAGTAAACCATGGTCTTGTTCTTGTTTAGTGTGTGTTTGTGTGTGTGTACTTAATCATAGTGTGTGTATATGTGTGTATGAACTGTGTGTGTATGAACTGTATGTGTGTTTATGAACTGTATGTGTGTGTGTTTGTGTGTAAAGAAAATAATAATGAGAACAAAGACAATAGATAGATTGTAGTTGTGTCTGTTACCATAGCTTGCTGTTGACTGTGAATTTATTGAATACATCAAAATGTATGAGGAAGGTTTGGAGGGGGGTTACTTGGCCAGTGCCCACCATCTTGACCCACTTGTGGGTAGAATCTGTTTCTTGTTTTGAAAAGTTGGCAGCTTTGTAAATGGAGAGTCGTGGCTTGTGACTGCGATGTGTGTGTCCTTTAAATCATCCTTCTTTTTGCAATTTTTGTTCTATCTTGAAACAGAATTCCTGCTGGTCCAGCCACTGGAGGTGAGGGTGTTTCTGAAAACTTGCACAATGGGCGTGGTAAGGAAGTGAAATTTCTTTTTGTGCCATTAGGAAAAGGTTAAAGGGATGTAATCCATAAAATTATTTCAATCAGGATTGAGATAATATTTTTTATGTCCCTTTAATATGTTGTGTCCATCTCATCATCTGTGACCACTCACACAATGTTCTTGTCCTGGCCGCCCTTGATTCTGTGTTTTTGTGAGCCAAAATAAGTGAGCTTTGTGATCTAATTAAATCTATAAATAAACAGTTCTTTATCTTGAGATTTTTCAAGATCCTCTGTTTGCATTATTTAGAATTCTGTTTCTACGTATTTGTTTCTTTTTAATTTTGTTTCAGATCCCAACAGTCGTCTGAACCTGAGTGCCATAGAAATCTCGCCCTTCCTTGAGATACAGCCATAGTTCTCTCCCCTGACCATAAAATACGAAGCTTTCACCGACAAAGACATCTTGATGATTCGGATCCAGGCAAAGTCTAAGCTCTGTGGCGCCATCGGCTGGCTAGATAACACAGTGGACAGCAAACAGTAAGTCCAGGTTTTGTCTTGCGGTCAAGTCAACATTTCTCTCTGACAAATTAATGATTGATTGTAATGATTGTAAATGTTTTACACCCTCATCAACACTTTTTAGGTCAGTCAGGTTGTCAGGGCCAACCCAGGTTGAGAGGGATACATTTTAGGACAATTTCCTAGAAGTAAAGATTTTTTCAACATGTTGGTCTTGGCCTCTGCCTGTTTTTGCATCAATCATTCAGGTTAAGGCGAGGTATTTGAGACATATCTTTGTGACAGAATGTGTGTCAAAAAAGCTACACTTGTTTTTTTTGCTTTTGTTTTGTTTTTTTGTTTTTTTGATGAAGCAACTTTTGCAGAGACGGCTTTTTGTAACACCTACAGGACTGTGGACGAGAAATCCAAATGCTTTGCCAGGACCGCAGACAAGTGTGCTCACAATCGAAATGACCTAGATCTCAACAACAGTCTGCCGATGTTTCCCCAAACGTTATGTTTTCATTAACCCACTAATTAGTTCTGTTTTGTAATTTTGCTTCCGACTTCTTGCAATTAAATGTGGAAACAGATACAATGAGTTTAAAAAAGTATTTCACTGAACCCGAGGTGCTCGACAAAATTTGTATGGAGACAGACGGTGTTGACTCAGACAATGACCTTGATTATTTGGATCGAGAGTCTTCAGATCGAGGAAAAAGTGATGAACAATAGGTCTGTAACCGTTTGTCATTGACTGAGGAGCAGTTTACTCAATAAGTAGATCTGAAATCTTTTATCCCTGTTGGGAACTGAGGTAAACCTAAAGCATGTCCAAAAAATACTGTGTATGGGATCTCCAGCATACACCTAAAACATTTAAAAGTTGACACATTTTCCTCAACACTACACTCAACCATTCGCCTAAGAAACATGATTCTACAGACGGGGTGAGTAATTTTCGAGACTCGCGTGGAGCTCGTGAAGACGCCTAGACAGCCGAAGGGAGGATGAAATCAGCAAGCTTTTTCTGAAATATGGGGGCAGGGTGGTGTCGCTGTCACAAAATTTTCAATTTGTAGGCAAGGCTACTGTAAGTCATTTATTGTAATGATTTTGTGTATGCATCCAAAGAGCGGTTTTTAATGTAGGGCTCAAAGAAAAACTTTTTTATTACTAGATCAAGATTTTTTGGAAAAATATTTGTGTTTGGTCGCTGGCCTGCAGAAGTGCCATGCAAAGTTTTCGTGGTCATAGGTAAATTAATCGATGAGCTAGAATTATTTTGATGTGGTCGTATGAAAGTGAACAAGCTATAGTGCAGAGTTATTCGTTCTAGCGTCATTTGTCTTATCCCCTTCCTAGGTATGCAACTCTGAGCTTTCTCCTTGAAGTTGGGAATTTTTTTTAACCAAATACTTCTTCCCAACAATTTCTAACAGTAGAAATGTAAGTCTTTATCAATCCAGTCATGGAAGAAAAGATTGTAAGATTGTAACAGTGCCGCTATGACATGAAGGACATTCCTTCTGCAGATGCACTGATCATCGTCAAACATGGACGGATGAATGGTTTTTATTGTTATTATCATTACTATTATTATTATTATTATTATTATTATTATTATTATTACAGTATAACACAGATAGCTGGAATTCGTCAGGACCGGCCTCGGTAGTTCCAGGGATCCGTAGTTCCAGGGATATCTTACAAAGATAAAGAAGAAGAGAGAAAAACGGGACCGTAGGCACAGTTCGACGGATGCGTGATTTTTAGTCTTCTGTGTAGTACCTATCCGTGCCACAGTGTATATTATTGTTATTATACTTACTATTATTATTATTATTATTATCATTATTATTATTATTATTATTATTAATACAAGACATCTTTCCCGCCTACCTCCGGGTACTCATTCCCACTTCGATGAAGTGAGTAAAATTCCTACAACATACCTCTTCCAAGGACACAATTTTGGCCCTATGGCACGGTTCCAACCCATGACCTTCAGTCACAAAACACAAACGGCACTTCTGTCCTGCAAACTACTCCAAATTAGTCTTGAGCTCTGTACTCCAAATTACACATCTCGGATACAGAGAGATCTAGATCTAGCGTCTTGCTCGAAAAAAAACTACGCACCAAATACGCGCCAAAATTTTGAAAACGTCAATACAACGAAGTAAACATTTTGCGGGTTTAAACGAACACAACGTGTTGGGGACATTCTAGAAAAAGTCAATACAATGAAGTTTGGCCTGAAGTATCCATCGACACTGTCAAGCCCACATCCAAACAGTTGGATATCAAGAGTCTAGTTCTGGAAGTAAAAGAAGCAGCCGTCTCACACACACAAAGAAGCACAAACTGAACCGAAGTAGCCCCCAGTAAAATATAAAATGGCTAATGACAATGTGAAAACATATGAGAGCTTCGATTTACAGGAAAAACCATAAAACCTGAGAATTCAAAAGGTAGTTTGCCAACTTTGAAAATCTGCCCACGTAACCCTTTGGGACAATTCTTGTCTGAATCATATTTTTCTAGATTTTATGGGCACCTGTGTAAAAAGTTTTTACTGACCCCACAAACGGGCTTAGCTCCATTATACTAAGATTATTATTGTCATTTTTATGATAATAATTACTATTGTATTATTATTATTTTTTCTTTATTAGTAGTATTATTATTAGTAGTATTTTTATGATTATGATGATGATTACTATTATTATTATTATTTGTATTTGTATTATTATTTTTTCATTTTCATATTTATCTATAGTATAGGCGAAATAAAAAATTAAGCAAATGTGAATTTGTTGAGAGAAAGAAAGAAAAGAAGAGGATTGTCATTTGTCATCCCCAGCAGTGTTCCCTGCCGTATGTGAGAGACGATCCCTGTGGTCTGAGGCCGGTCAAGCCAGTGCCGATATGGAGTCGGTATCTCTCTGACCGCTCCTCTCTACCTGTGTGTGGGAAGAAAACTGTGGTAGGGGAGAATGTCAAAAAAATGTCAACGGTAGATATCATCGGTGTACATTTCTTGTGTGGGTTTTCAGGTTTCAAATTACAACTATATTTGAACCTGCCTTAATGGCCACCTGTCTAAGACAATCACCTGTACAAACGGCCACTTCCCACTTCCCCTTTGTATTTTCCTGAATTATAATAACACCTGTCCAAGACAACCACCTGTCTAAAACAGTCACTTTTCTCCTCAATAATGGGTGGCTGTCACCTGTCCAAGACAACCACCTGTCTAAAGCACTCACTTTTCTCCTCAATAATGGGTGGCTGTCTTGGACAATTTCCGCTGTACTTTGTGATTTCTCGGGTACCCCAGGCTCTTGTAGATTCAGCACTTTATTCATTGGTAGAGATTACAATTTGTTCTTGAACTTCAAATGTTTTTTTTTATTCAACAAGGAACAATTCTGGCAGATAATGATGCCATTTGTATATGACATCAGTAAGATCTTATGGTATCTCGGAGCTGTTGAAAAATTTGGATAAATTCTTGTCCCATTTTTAATCCACAGAGCAATGAGATACTTCTAGTTTGAACTATCTGGTAACAAATATTTTACGTTGTGCCAGTCAGGCTTTCAGTTTTAGTCGTACTGTCCTTGAGTTATAGCCCTTGTCACATGGATCCATAAATGTTGTAGTTCTTGGAAATCTGAAGCCTGTAAGTCCTGCATCACTTCATAATGAATCAAAAGTTTTTATTTTACACGTGTTATTTTATGTACGACGTGATGACCGGTTGTTGCAATCCATACAAAAACATTTTCTCCTTTTCTTTCTTTCCACGGACAGATGTCTTCAGAACGTCAGAACCTGACAGAAATGTTCAGCTATCTGTCTGGAGAACATTCACGACGCTACCATATTGAAGGGGACATCAGCGCTGCTTACTCAGAGATGGTCATCAAAAGGATCTGTCGGTAGATTTGACTGGACGAAAGATGAAGCAGACAAAGAGATGTAGATAACTGAGTGGATCTGTGTGGATCAGAGAAAACCCTCATGTCTAGCACATCCCAAATGTTCCCCACTATTTTTTAGCTCATCCCTTATATTTTCTAGCCCGTCCCCAGTATTTTGTAAATTAATCATATTATTTTCTAGCTCATCCCTAATAATTTTTGCTTATCCCCAGTATTTTCTAGGTCATCCCTAATATTTTCTAGCTCATTCCGAATAGTCCCCACTATTATTTAGCTCATACCCAGTATTTTCTAAATGATCCCTATCATTTCCTTGCTCGTCCCTTATATTTTCAAGCTCATTCCCAGTATTTTCTAGCTCATCCCTAATATTTTCCAACTTGCCCTCAGTACTTTCTAGCTCAACCCTAATATTTTCTATCTCATCCCCAGTATTTTATAGATTATCCCTGTTATTTTCTATCTCAACCCTAATAGTTTTCAGCTCATCCCCAATATTTTCTAGGATCCAGAATATTCCCCATTATTTTTTAGCTCTTCCTCAGTATTTTCTAGATTATCCATTTTATTTTTAGCTCTTTCGTAATATTTTCTAGCTTATCCACAGTAGTTTCTAGAATATTCTAGTTATTTTCTAGCTCATCCCCAGTATTTCCTAGGTCTTCCCTAATATTTTCCAGCTCGTCCCCAATATTTTCTTGCTCATCCGTAATATTTCCTAGCTCATTCCAAATATTCCCCACTATTTTTTTAGCTCATCCCCAGTATTTTCTAGATGGACCCTATTATTTTCTAGCTCATCCCTAGTATTTTCTAACCTATCTCCGGTATTTTGTAGATTATTCCTCTTATTTTTTAGCTCATCACTATTAATTATTTAGCTTGTCCCCAGTATTTTGTAGGCCGTCCCTAATATTTTCTAGCTCATCCAGAATATTGCCCACTCTTTTCTAGCTCATCCCCAGTATTTCCTAGGTCTTCCCTAATATTGTCCAGCTCGTCCCCAATATTTTCTTGCTCTTCCGTAATATTTTCTAGCTCATTCCAAATATTCCCCACTATTTTTTAGCTCATCCCCAGTATTTTCTAGATAATCCCTCTTATTTATAGCTCATCCCTGATGTTTTCTAGCTCATCCCCTGTATTTACTATAATAATCAGAGGTCGATGATAGATAGCATTTGTATAGCGCAAATCCCCGCCCAACAGCAAGCTCTATGCGCTTCACAATCTATACTATAACACCAGCAGACCTGAGAGCATTCTGAAACAACCTCAACTTCCTGGGAAGCATACAGTGCAAGCAGCCATTTATAGGCGCTAAAACACTAACATACTGACAAGATCTTTCGCTGTCTATGGCTGGGTACTCATTCCCACCTGGAGGTGGAGTGAGGACAATTCATGTAAAGTGCCTTTCCCAAGGACACAACGTCGGGCCCGCGGCTCGAACCCCTGAAACTGCAACCTCACGATTACGAGTCCGATAGCCTAACCACTAGACCACCGACAACCTCATGATTACGAGTCCGATAGCCTAACCACTAGACCACCGACAACCTCATGATTACGAGTCCGATAGCCTAACCACTAGACCACCGACAACCTCACGATTACGAGTCCGATAGCCTGACCACTACTAGGTCATCCCTAATATTTTCCAGCTCGTCCCCATTTTTTTCTAGCTCTTCCCTAATATTTCCGAGCTCATTCCATATATTTCCCTCTTTTTTAGCTCATCTCCAGTATTTTCTAGATTATCCCTATTATTTTCTAGCTCAACCTTTATATTTTCTAGCCCATCCCCAGTGTTTTCTAAATTATCCCTATTATTTTCTAGCTCATCCCTAATAATTTTTAGCTTATCCCCAGTATTTTCTAGGTCATCCTATATATTTCCTAGATCATCCAGAATATTCCCCAGTATTTTCTAGCTCATCCCCAGTATTTTCTAGAATATTCCTATTTTTTAGCTCATCCCTAATATTTCCCAGCTCGTCCCCAGTATTTTCTTTCTCATCCCTAATATTTTGTAGACCATTCTGAATATTCCCCACTATTTTCTAGCTCGTCCCCACTATTTTCAAGATTGTCCCTATTATTTTCTAGCTCATCCCCAGTAATTTCTAGCTCATTCGTAATATTTTCTAGCTCATCTCCAGTTTTTTCTTGATTTTTCTTATTATTTTTTAGCTCATCCCCAATGGGTTTTTTTATAGCAAATTCAAGTATTTTTTAAAACCAATTCCTAATATTCTCCAGCTCGTGCCCAGTATATTCTAGCTCATTCTGAATATTTGCCACTATTTTTTAGTCATCCCCTGTATTTTCTAGATGATCCCTATTATTTCAAGCTCCTCACTAATATTTTGTAACCCATCCCCAGTATTTTCTAGATTATCCCTATCATTTTCTAGCTCATCCCTAATAATTTTAGCTTATCCCCCAGTATTTTCTAGGTCATCCCTTATATTTTCTAGATCGTCCTAAATATTCCCCATTATTTTTTAGCTCATCTCCAGTATCTAAGTTATCCCTAATATTTTCCAGCTCGTCCTCAGTGTTTTCTGGCTCTTCACTAATATTTCCTAGCTCATTCTGAATATTCCCCACTATTTTTAGCTCATCCCCAGTATTTTCTAGCTCATCCCTAATATTTTCTAACCCAGCCCCAGTATTTTCTAGATTATCCCTGTTATTTTCTAGCGTGTCCCCAGTATTTTGTAGGTCATCCCAAAAACGTTTTAGCTCATCCAGAATATTCCCCACTATTTTTTAGCTCATCTCCAGTATTTTCTAGATTATCGTTCTTATCTCCAACTCATCCCCAGTGGTTTTTAGCTCTTCCCTAATATTTTCTAGCTCATTCCGAATATTCCCCACTATTTTTTAGTTTATCTCCAGTGTTTTCTATATTATTTTTATTATTTTCTAGTAAATCCCTATTGTTTTTTAGCTCATCCCTAGTATTTTCTAGCTCTTCCCAAATATTTTCTAGCTCATCCCCAGTATTTTCTAGATTGTCCATATTATTTCTAGCTCATCCCCAGTAGTTTTTAGCTTTTTCGTAATATTTTCTAGCTTATCCCTAGTAGGTTCTAGAATATTCATGTTATTTTCTAGCTCATCCCCAGTATTTCCTAGGTCTTCCCTAATATATTCCAGCTCGTCCCCAATATTTTCTTGCTCATCCGTAATATTTTCTAGCTCATTCCAAATATTCCCCACTATTTTTTAGCTCATCCCCAGTATTTTCTAGCTGATCCCTATTATTTTCTAGCTCATCCCTAATATTTTCTAATCTATTTCCAGTATTTTGTAGATTATTCCTCTTATTTTCTAGCTCATCACTATTAATTATTTAGCTTGTCCCCAGTATTTTGTAGGCAGTCCCTAATATTTTCTAACTCATCCAGAATATTGCCCACTATTTTCTGGCTCTTTCCCAGTATTTACTTGCTTTTCCCTAATATTTTCCCGCTCGTCCTCAGTATTTTCTTGCTCATCCGTAATATTTTCCAGCTCGTCCTCAGTGTTTTCTAGCTCTTCCCTAATATTTCCTAGCTCATCCAGAATATTCCCCACTATTTTTTAGCTCATCTCCAGTATTTTCTTGATTATCGTTCTTATTTCCAGCTCATCCCCAGTGGTTTTTAGCTATTCCCTAATATTTTTCAGCTCATTCCGAATATTCCCCACTATTTTTAAGCTCATGTCCAGTGTTTTCTAGATTATTCTTATTATTTTCTAGCTAATTTCTATTGTTTTTTTAGCTCATCCCCAGTATTTTCTAGATTGTCCATTTTATTTCTAGCTCATCCCTAATGTTTTATAGCTCATCCCCAGTATTTTCTAGAATATTCTTGTTATTTTCTAGCTTATCCCCAGTGTTTTCTAGCTCATCCCCAGTATTTACTAAATCATCCCTAATATTTTCCAGTTCATCTTCAGTGTTTTCTAGCTCATTCCTAACATTCCCCACTATTTTTTGCTCATCCCCAGTATTTTTTAGATGATCCCTCTTATTTTTTAGCTCATCCCTATTTCCTACCTCATTCCCTATTTACTAGCTCATCCCTAATATTTTCTAGCTCATCCCCAGTAATTTCTAGCTCATTCGTAATATTTTTTCGCTCATCCTCAGTATTTTCTAGATTATTTTGTAATATTTTCTAGCTCATCCCCATTATTTTTTTAAATTGTTTTTTAAAATATATTTTTTATCATGCAGTTGCGAGCACCATAAAAACTCTACTTAAACTAAACTAAACCAGTGTTTTTTTAGCTCATCTCCAGTATTTATTAGGTCATCCCTCATATTTTCCAGCTCGTCCCCAGTATTTTTAGATCTTCCCTAATATTTTCTAGCTCAATCCAAATATTCCCCACTATTTTTTAGCTCATCCCCAGTATTTCTAGATGGTCCCTATTATTTTTATAGCTCATCCCTAATATTTTCTAGCTCAACCCCAGTATTTACTAGGTCATCCTTAATATTTTCCAGCTTGGCCCCAGTATGTTTGAGCTCTTTCCTTATATTTTGTTGCTTTTTCCGAATATTGCCCCACTATTTTTAAGCCCTTTCCCACTACTTTCTAGATAATTGCTCTTATTTTCTAGCTGATACCTAATATTTTCTAGCTCGTCCCCAGTATTTTCTAGATTGTCCCTAATATTTTCTAGCTCATCCCCAGAAAATTTCTAGCTCATTTGTAATATTTTCTAGCTCTTCCTCAGTACTTTTTCGATTATTCTGATTAATTTTTTAGCTCATCCCCAGTATTTTCTAGCTATTCCCTGATATTTTCTAGCTCATTCCAAATATTCTCCACTATTTTTTAGCTCACCCCCGGTATTTTCTAGATTTTTATTATTTTCTAGCATATCCCCAGTGTTTTCAAGCTCATCCCCAGTATTTACTAAGTCTTCTCTTATATTTTCCTGCTCATCTTCTGTGTTTTCTAGCTCTTCCCTACTATTCTCTAGCTCATTCCGAATATTCTCCTATATTTTTTAGCTCCTCCCCAGTATTTTCTAGATGATCCCTAATATTTTCTAACCCGTCCCCAGTATTTTCTTGATTATCCCTATTGTTTTCTAGCTTATCCCCAGTATTTTGTAGGTCATCCCTAATATTTTTAACCTCATCCAGAATAT